AAAAAATCAACATTCAAAATTTATCTCATGAACGCTATCATCTTTTAAAAATAAGAAAAATATGATAGTGACCGAGGTAAATTTTGATTTTTGATTAACAAATTATCTAACACTACTATTCTACCGTGACCTCAATACTTGAGAGCTCCTACACTCGCGCCCATCCAATGTGGAAGGGCCCTCTTAAATTTACAGACTTAGATAATACGTTTTCGTTGATGCTATCTTGTTTATTTGGCAGCAGAAAATTATTTAAAAAAATAATTTTATAAAGTTTAATTATAAAACTATAATTTAATTTACACAAATTTATAGTAATGTACCAATATATGGTTATTACCATCAATAAATTGTTTCCATAAATGGTTCTATAAAATGCCCCACCCTTTTAATATCTTCAGGAAACGCACTGAAATTCAGGGCACGAATGTTTGTGGGACTATTTCTAGAACACTAGTTTGTTTTGAATTCCGAGTGACGAAAGAGTCTTGTTGAAATGAGGAACCGGTTGTTACATCGGGCATTGCAACGACAGGAAATGTTGAAGGCGATGGATTTTATAGTTTATTACAAGAATTACGCCCCGCCGCTATCTTCCCACACCGTCAGCGCTGCTAGTCTGTCGCCTCCTAGCTCGGCCGTGGATTCGTCCCGCCTTCGCACCACACCGCTCGCTCGTCCTGAACTGGTCGTCCCCGCCCCGCACCCCCCCCCCGCCCGGCAACAATGAAACACAGGTAGATTGGGAATTAAATTTAAGCGCCAACTTGTGCTGCAGCGCTATCTGTTTACAACGAAATGAACAGCATACAAACTTTCTCCATGAAAATATCAGTAGATGCGCCAACTTTCATGGAGGTTGGTGAAATAGTATCGGAGAGAATCGATCTCAAACAAGCCAACTTCCATTTTTACGTTCTCGGTACGGAGTAGAGAGAAACAGGTTAATATAAAAATTCTTATTACAGGGCCCGGGAATCAAAAACATACATAAATTCAGTTGCTAAATTTAGAAAAAACCTCTAACATGTGGTGTAGCCAGAATACATGTGTTGTGGGGTCCTTGATACCGAAAACCCGAACAGTCGGCAAAACATGTCCGTCCGTCCGTCCGTCCGTCCGTCCGTCCG